GTCAGCGCTTCCAACTACCGGGCTGCCACGGTGGTACCAGCCGAAGAAGCAAGGGAGGACGCGAAGGGACAGGGATAAAGTAAGGAATAAGGAGAGAGGGACACGAGAGAGAGAGAGAGTAAAAAAGGGAGGAGAGGATATTAAAGTGCGAGGGAGAAACCGGTGAAACCATCGAGACGATCCGGTGGGTGGTTGGAGGAGAGAAAAAACGAGTTTTCGACACGAGTTCGGGGGTGCGATTTAGTTGATCTCGGCCTCGCGAGATCGTCTATGAAATTCGTCGAGCTGGGACGAAGTAAAACGCGCAAATACCGAGTTATTTATCGAAGGGTCCAACAGCGAGTCCCCAAAAACAACCGTATACTGACTGTCACTCTTGCTTTCTTTTCTATCCAAGACGAGAATGATCTCTCGGCGCAGATTTGATTCTTGGTACATAGAACTCGCGAGAGCTACGATATCGTACTCGAATTAAGTGCTCTAGAGTCTCGCATGCGTAAGGGTTCCGCAAGGGCAAAGACCTCGCGCTAAACTATGCATGCCTCTGGCCTCGGATCCAATCAGGGTTAGGGGCAACGTTGTCCCGTCCAAGAAAAGAGAAAAAGAGAGGTTCGAGATATTTAAACTTCCGTACTGGGAGAGAGCTTTTAAACTGAAAGACATAAAGTATCGAGGAACTGTCAAAACTTTGCTTCTAATCGCTAATTCGAAACGTCTGAGATGACGCGGTAGACGCGCGAGATAAAATTCCTGCGACGAGAGGAAAAGAGGAAAAAAAAAAAAGGACACATCGGTGGCGGATATGTAATGTGCGAGTAACTCCGGCAACAACCTTGACTCGCCGCAAGCCATACTCGCGCGCGCTTCTTATAATCCCTTGTGTTCGCGCGCGTCCGGCCCCATTAGTAGTTGGCTGACCCATCATTCAATAACGCTCTCAATGTCTGTGCGACCGTGTCTCTCTCCGTGTCTTCGGACACACGCATGTGCGCGTGACGCGGCGATAATTAGATCGAGTTTCCGCGCGAGAATATATAAAGCGCGGAAAAGCCTCCTTCAGTACCCCCAAAATATTTTTCTGTACACCGAGAGAACTTTTTCTTCAAATTTATCCTGAAAATCAAGGTAATCGTGGGACAATATGGAAGAATTTTAAGAATTTCTCTGATTAATATTATCACAATACAAAATATTAATATGTGTACATACGTAGTAAATTTTTTACTAAAATTAATCAAACATATTTTATATTTTATTGTAATAGATATTATTATTTTTATTTTCTTTTGTAAAATTCTTATAAAATACTTTTATAAATTCCTTCCAATACTGTATTCTCTCACGATTATCACCATTTTCGGGGTAAATTCTAAGAGAAAATTCTCTCTGCGTATATTAGAAATAATTTAAAAAATTTTCATGTATATATTTCAAAATATGTCTCTCGATATTTGCGATTAATAATAAAGTAGAACGTGATAAGGGTATTAAGATTTTATAAGTTATCTTAACAAGATAACTTTGTCATCACGTAGTTCCATAGCTATATATAAATACATACTGAGCGAGATTTGATATAAAGTTACGTCATGGAGGAACAGTGTATGCGAATATCAATGTATTCTAGGGGAGTCTTTCAATGTTAAAAGTGTCACTGATATGTTGCGTGTATACGATTTAATCCAAGTGTTATGTCTACGAATGAATAATTCGTGTCAGAATTATATGCATCGAGAGATTACGATGTTAAATATTATCATCGATACGAAACGTGTAACATGCACAGGCTGGCACCTTCTGCGATAATGAATTCTTTATTATTACACCGTTAATTTTAAGCAGATGACAGTCTTCTCGGACAATCTTTTTCGACAAAGCCATAAGACACATACGTACACTTTATTAATTTGTACCGTAAAATAATTTTCTTCTACACTATAAAAATAATGTCAATGTCATTACATTACAAATATATCCCAAATGTATTAGAGCTCCAAAGCAGACAAATAACGGATGCGCATTTATTCAATTCCGAATTAATGAGTAGCATTGACCGAGAGACACTCGTTTCTTTTTTTTTTTTTCGAGAAAAGATTTGAAACAAGTACAGAGTTTCTAAAGAATCAATGCAAATACCATACTCTTTTGTAACAAATGATTCGGAACGGCCGCTAACGCTCAACAAGCAAACGCTACTTCTTATTCATATCGACGCCAATCGGCGTCAAATGCTATACGAGTTTATGTTAAATTATCATCTCTGTGGTTTTACCGGAATTCCCGGAGCTGACAAACGCAAAATAAGAAGACGATTTCCATAGACAAATCCTTCGAGAGTCCATCGAAACCGGAATGTTCGTTACACAAAAACGAAAAATGTTTATTCGCGTTTTAATAAATTTGTATGCGTCTATTTTTTAAAATAAATATTCGTCTAAAAAAAAAGTACAATTTACCGAGATCAATTTCATAGCGCGTCATCGTGATAACACGTGACACAGGTCGCGTGGTGCGATGTGAATCACTCGTGACATAATCGGTCAATGAATCGTGCTAAAACGTCACCTATTGATTTCGCTATTCGAGGATGGAATCAAATGGTAGAGTTAAAAATCACGACGATCAAAACACACTTCGTTTCTCAAGCGGCGTCGCATGGGAGACGACAATATGTCAATGTCATTCACGTTGTGTGTCACCGCGTTACGTACCAGGTGTCCAGAAATTAAGATCCAAAATCGCGAAAACAGGGAAAGATTTCTTTTACGTGTACACATGTCAGAAATTAAATTATATTTTTAAAAATTGGAAAACAAACATTAATTACCTTTTTCATTCTCTTAAAAGTCACATCGACATTATATTCATCAAATTAGATATCTATATATATATATTTAATTATTATATATAATTATAGTATATATTATATAAATATTGTATACATACATATACATATATAAAATATTTATATTTAGTTATTTAAAAAAATCAACATATATCGAGGTGTAAAAAAAAATTAGCAAGACTGCAAAACATATATATATATATATAAAGACATTTGAATTTCGTTCTTTCCGATCTATAAGAAATCGCATAATTGAATTGGAGTATTGTATACAAATCGGGAACACCCTTTGCAGACTTTCTTCGTTATCGGTGTGATTATACGTTTTATAAATACAGAGCGACAGACGTTCCTACTAGTTGCTTCGACATCGAAAGCACGACAGACAGGATAATTGATAGCGGAATGCTAATAACTCGTACGAGGCAGGCATTATAATAAGTTTTTTGCCCGGAGTGTGCCCTGCGTCTAGCGTGTTCTCGCTCCCCTCGTGATATGTCACGAGTGTTCTTTCCGGTGCTTATTAGCACGTAATTTGCTTACTTCGGTAAGCTTTATCGGCAACGATTGATCGACACGATATTTCTACTCATTCTGTTCTTTCTAGCTAGACACGAATCTCCGTTTAGCGATGAAGAATAACTGTACACGCGCGTATCGGCGTGTTTATTTTTACACGTAAGATTAATAAGCTGCATATGTTAACACGTGTACGGATTAAAGCTAATCAATTATCGTCATTTAAGATCAATATCTGTAGAAATTGTTTTATAATAGTATATTCGATTTTTCGCGTAGAAATATAATATGTGTACGTGCGCGTTTGATGTTACATGCGTGCAATTTAGAGGGAAAAAAGATATTTTTAGTGAAATAAAATATACACAAGAAATAAGTGCGATCGAAGAATGAAATTCAGCTGGACAGGTATACACGAGTTTCGCGAGCTTGCATTTTCCCCGGATAGATTAGTAATTACATGTGTTACGGAGTGAAAAAATCTTAATACAATTTGCCAGGGTATTAAGCGCACGAAGAGTGTAATTACAAGATACTGTTCTTACGCGCGTTGCTTTCCTCCGAGTGATTATATATCGCGGCATACGGGCATGGAGAGTGTTAATAATTGCGGTGGACGATGGAAAGCGTATGTGTATCCGTATTAAGAAGGAATGACATTACCGCGTTTTGAAATGAGGGGCTTCGATATCATTAATCTCGTCGCGTTAGATTGGACTTTATACCGAATAGCGTGTGAACACATCAATTTTTAAATGAAGCAATTTTTCGTAATTCACGTTCCCATCAACAGATGACCGCGTCTTTTCGCGTCAGATTATTTTCATTATAATCGCAATAAAATACGTATGTGTGTGTGTGTGTGTGTGTGTGTGTGGACTTATAGACGTCTCAACTGAGGGATATTAACAGACTACTCTACATATGTAGATTAAAAAATATCTAGTACTTTTCCAAGTATTTGCTTAAAGTGGGTAAACATGGGAGTACTTCCCCAGCGAAGAAATATTTACTAGGCAAATATCCGAGGCTAAGACAAGCGACCTCTTCATTTGCCGGTGCATCAAGACTGGACGGTAGATGCAACGGCGTCAGGCTTCGCTGTAATAAAGTTTTTGTCGTTCTTTTCAGTCTCTTTGAAGGCTACTCTCGACTGCATCAAAGTGCAAATACCGAGTCTTATATATTTGAAAAAATCAAATCGCTCTTTCATCAGAGCTTTATTAAAGTTCAGATCAGAGTCGCGAATATAATGAAAGTGGGCTCGCAAAATTAACTTGATGATTATCGCGCAAAATTATACACCATCATATATAGTAATTTATATTCAGTAATAAACATATATATATATATCATATATATAATATATATAATATATATATATATAATATAATACATATATAATATATATATTTTTTTATACATATAATACATGTATAATATATATATATTTTTATACATATAATACATATATAATATAACGTATAATATACATATAACGTAATATGTAATATACACAATATATATTCTATATAATTAAAGCGATCGGAAATGACAAACGTAAAAAGACAAAAGGGGTACGTCATCTCGTAGTGTTTTTCTCGACGAAAGGCGCGCTTGGTATATATATACTAACCTGGTAGGGAAATAGGGGAAGCCCTGATGGACGTGCAGGTCCATGGGCATCGCGGGATGTGCGGGCCCGTGATGCGCCGCGGCGGGGACGTACTCGCCCCCGGCCGACATCGGGGGCTGCATCATCCCCGCGGCGGCGGCCGCGTGGTGACCGGCGAGCATGGCCCCCCAATGGAAACCAGGTGCGCCCGGCATCGCCGACGGATGCTCCAACTCGAGGGCACGGTGACTTCCGCCGGCACCACCGACGATACCACCCCCGGCTGCGCCTCCGGCACTTCCGCCCCCGCGGTGCATCCGCCACCCTTCCACCACGAATGTCGATGGTATCTCCGTCGTCTCGGTCGAACGCGCACTCTTTTCTTCTCCCCACTCTCCCTCTCTCTCTCTCTCTCTCTTCTTGTTCGACGCTGCTAATTCGAATCACTCAAATGTCAATTCTACTACCCACTTGTATATATACACTCACCCGCGCCCGGGACAGGCCTTTTCCCGTCGACGAACGGGAGGGCCTGTCGATTCGCGGACCTCTTCTTCTCGACCGGCGCACCATCGACCACCGGTGCCCTTTAATCTCGCGTTACGCGGCGATACTCCCGTGAACGCTGCATGCGCGACGCGGCAGACGCTGGTGACTCTGAGAACGCGACGCTGCGGGGGAGACGCGCCGTAGTAGTGTATCCTCTGGCGAGCCGCTGCAGCCGGACGGAGCCGAACAGTGGCGCAGCCTTTAGCTCGGCCATGAATGACGCGCCGTATTCCGAGTTACTTGACTACTTGGAGGCGGAGCCTCGGCCTACTCGCGCCCACGTGACACCTCCCGCCCCCATTCCCTCTCCTCTTCCGCGAAACCCTCTTTCCTTCCCTCTCGTCACCCTTGCCGGAGCGACGGACGCCGCAGCTTCACCCTCTCGCGACCCGACCACGTGCGCGCAAGCCCGAGCGCGTTGTCGTTGATCTCCTCTCTTTCGGAGCTTGTTGTTTTCTTTCCGCATCCATCCCTCTCCAGGAGGGTCCGTCGAATTCTCGAAACGCATCACCGACATGTGTATATTCCCATGTCTCTTTAGTATCTTGATCCTAATTTAACCCGAGACTCCGATTTATAGACTTAACTTGGGAAGGACCGAAAAGTAATGGTCGAAACGTTGTGTACTTGATTCGAGAAACATTTCCAGTCGAACGAAAAGATTATTTCATTCGTTTACTACCACTAGCGACTTTGAGAAACTTGAATATTAATTCAACCCGATTTATATATTCATAGGGGGTGGCTAAGTGGCGATAGGTGAACTTATTAATTAGGGGATGCGTTAACAAGGTGCATCCGTTATTGTTTGTTTGGATCGAATGTTGGGAGAGTTGTTTGATGGAAGAGAGGGAGTTGAGGACAAGGAGCTTGCGGGTAAAATTTCTATTCGAAAATTCATATTCTCTCGTATGTTACCTGTGTAAGAGAAAAACGTTGACCAAGATAGACAGACGGATCCGTGCTGGAGACGCACGTTTTGGCGTAACACTTGTTGAGTCACTTCGCTCCCTCGCAGCCGACTAAACGCGTCCCTTAGTGGACGTTTCATAAACGACGGTGTAGGGGGGTGGGAAGGGGGATGAGGGTTTCGAATGCGAACTTTACTATTCGTTTTCGCACGATCGACCTCGCAGACTCGCGTCCTCGTCTTTACGCACAACTGATTATTTCATTTTGTACACTCTCGTCGAATCTCGCTGGCAAAGAAGGAACAATATAAAGTGTAATTACTACAAATACGGCAATAATCATGTAAATCGTAATGCACTGTCCCCGTAATATACAATTGCGATTAAGCAAGAATTTGAATACATCGAGCGAAGAATTTAATAATAAATTTAATTTTCACTGTCTGTCGCCGTTTTTTTTTTTTTTTTAATTTTCGACCGTCGACAAATTATCGCGCAATTGTGTTACTTCTCCTTTCGAAATTATTACTTCTAATCAGGGATTCGCCGCGCGAATGGTAAATAAAAGCGACGCCTGTAACGTATACATTAAATCAGCCGGAGTTCCGTCAGCCCCCTCGAGTTGTAACCGGTCTACTACCATAAAAAATTTAATCAAAATGCCCTCTTGGTAATTTACAGCTCGCCCAGCCTCTCAACCCTTGCCAAGGTGACTCCGACTGGTGGAGAGAGGGATCTACCGCGTCTTGCTTAAGCCGAATTCAAGTAAGGGCTGTGTACGTGTGCAAGACGATAGAGAAGAAACAAACGAAAGTAAGAGAAGGGACGGAGAAACCCCGCAGGAGTCATAGAATGCGGCCCATTTACTCTTTTTCCGTATAAAAAATCATTCAGCCTTCGCGCGTTTGTCCTTAGGGTTCGTGAAATGGCTAAAAAAACTCGAATTTGCCAATTAAACGATATTCGCATCAACGCTGAAGATGGTTTCTATATAGAGCATAATTACTCTTATATCCAAATTATTTTTTTTCCTCTTTCTCTCAAAATATATTCATTTCTGCGAAAAATTTGATCCAATGATATTATTAAAAAATGACCATAATTTCCATTACTTTCTATTTGTCTGCTTATTTATTATTTTTTTTTTTTTTATGATTTTTGTCTAGAGTATAATTATATATCCAAAATATTTCTTTTCCCTTTCTCTCTCTCTCCGTTCAAAATATATTTATTTCTGTGAAAAATTTAATCCACTGATATTACTTAAAAATGACCATAATCTCGATTACCTTTTATTATTTTAAAAATATAAAATGTGTTAATAAACCGACCACAACTGGCAATGTTATTCTTTAGTTATTTATTCAAAATTCAGACAACGTTTCGACCTTAGTTCAGGTTCTTATCAAGTCTGCTAAGAAATAAATTGACACACTTCTACATAATAAAATTCATACTAAAATTCGTCCTACGTTTGTTGGACGAATTTTAGTATGAATTTTATTATGTAGAAGTGTGTCAATTTATTTCTTAGCAGACTTGATAAAAACCTGAACTAATGTCGAAACGTTGTCTGAATTTTGAATAAATAACTAAAGAATAACATTGCCAATTTTGTGGTCGGTTTATCAACACATTTTATATTTTTATTTTTATTTCACTGGCGACTCATAAATTACTCGTAATTTTTATTATTTTGTCCGCTTATTTATTATTTGATAAATCGAGTACGCTATATTCACACGAACGACATTCGGTCCATCCAATAATAATTTATTTACAACGCCGACTTATTGTTGCGGAGGAGAGAAAACGGAGAGCGAACGTCGTCATGTGCCATTAAGTAGATTCTCTTAAGCAGAAAAATTGTTTCGCGCTGGCCTACCTGTGGGTACAGGTGTGAGTCGTAATAACATAGTGAGCGTGCCCTTTAACCTCTAATATCCCTACCTTCGCGCTGACTTCACTAAGGCCGCCGCAAACGGACGTAGGAACACGGCAATCATCGTACCTCTGTATCAATTGCAGGCGCATTATTATTGCGGATATACTTGGCGCTGCGTCGTATCATTGAACTTTCGGCAATATATACGTCGCAATATTACAAATTGTTGTCAGGACTGGCGACATGTATTATTTACGAATATTGCACAAAATGCGCTTCTTATTATATATAAGTGCATAATAACAGTGCAAGTTCACCGCGCAGGATTCAGGAAAAGTATGGAGTATATATATATATATAAAAAAATACACACAGCTCTGAAAAATTCCAAATTTATTCGAGACGTCTTAAATGTGTAAGTATATAATACTTGAAACCTTGAAATATAGGTATTATCAGTAAAGTCAGTTTGGATACTACTTGGCATAATACTTTACAATCGTACATGGTGATTTGTTGATATCATAAATTGTAACAGAAGTATAATGAAAATTCGAAAGTAGGTGAGTGCTCTGCAAGATAATTGCACGGTGAGCTGAGCAAAACAATTTTGCGATTGTATCGAGATCTATATAAATGTTAGTAGTCTATGCTGAAGTGAAAATGATTTCAATTTCTGATAGTTGTAAAGTAACGTCATTTATGCGTCCCACTTTTGCGTGAATAATATTCGGGAGAATGTCAAAAGTATTAAATGAAACATCTTCGTAGGAGAAATAAAGAGAAAATTCATATTTAAAAATATGAAAATTGTGAAATTTTCGCAAAATTCAAAGAAAATTAATGGAATCCTTGAAATAAGAAATTAGTAAATTCATTATAACATGGTTTGTAAAACATGAATAAAATCTAATTATTAGCTTACTAATAAATTTATATTCATCGCTTCTATTTGAAACACGATATCTAAATACTAAATATTAAATTCTCTTTATGTTTGTTTATACCCTGTTCTTTCAATTCTAGTTGAAAAGATGATTAAAAATTATGTCTCACTCGTGTGTCAAATAGAAGCGTTGCTACACATCTATTTTGTTAAGTATATACTATCGCTAATATATTCTAATATAGCGGCTTTCAGACCGTCGTTTAATCTCTTGGAGAAAATATATGATACGCAATCGCTAAAGAATTTCATCATTTATCAATTTCAATCAATTTATTTAAAACATTTCTAATGAATTATTTTTGTCATTTTGATTAATTTAAAAGATTTAAAGGGATTCGAATAAAATACAAAAATATTTTTAAAAATATATTATCATCGATTCGTAGTATCAAAATGATCTCCATAAGTTAAACGATTATCATCGAAGATACTGAATATCGTAATACATTGTTCGCACTTATCGAACTGAATATATATATATTTTTTTTTAATTCTTTTTTTGTGGAGCATCGCAATAACTAACTCCTCCTACAGCTCCCCGATAATAATGAAAAAGGCACATGCAAAATACACCTAATATAAATAACCCATATAATATAGACTATAGATGGATATCGCGTATTCAATGATAAGCGTGATACGATCGTTACAATATTATCAAGTATTCCTTCAACCGCGTGCATGTAAAATAACATTGGATAGATAATAATGATATAAGTAACGTTTTGATTTTTCAGGTACTTTATACATATTATTATGTTTCACGTGTATATAAGGCAGATAAAAATCGCATTCGCGATATGAAAATGAAAAAAGTTTGAAAATGCGTTACTTAAACAATTGTTGTTACGATCACAAAAATACTAAAATTTTCTCTTTAAATTGAATCCTTTCTCGCACTGATATAAAAAAATATTTTCTAACCCTTTAATTTTAATGTCATTGTGTTGCAGCAATACGAAAAATATTGCAATAGCAATTTTTTAAGTAACACACATTGCATGAAAAGAAGAAAGTGCGATGATATTCAATTACTTTGTAATACTACAGTCGTAATAAAGATTACGTGTAAGTCTTCGTTATATACTTTTAAAGTGCAAAAGTTACACTCAATTATCGAGTCTTAATCAAGTCTTGTCAAGTCAGAGTCTCTGTAGTTTCTTTCTTTTCGAGCAATTTCGTTGTAATAACGGGGGAACGACTGTATTGTCATATTAATATGTATCTTATTAAAGTATTCGATGCCACTAGGCAGTCGTTAACCTTTTCTAACCAAAAGGCAATTAATATAATCGTCATTCTTTCTCACGACGAATCTCTCGTAAGTACGTACGTGTACTCTCTATTATTGGATCATTAAAATTATCCAATCAATTCTTACGCTCGATAGAGCGACTCGTTCTTCGTATGCATGTTCCAAGTTGGTTTTACTGCTAAAGAGAAGAGTAACGTTTTAACGTGGACTATGTCTAGGTCTGAAAAACAAATAATCAGACGGGATCTCCACGTCAATCGAAAAATCAATTACTCTCTCGCGCCGCTAAATTATCAATCAAGATTCGTAGGAAATAGCGGAACTAACAATAAGATACATTCCCGTACAAATTAGGTCACAGGAACTATTTCACAGATTGCTGGTGTCTCTCAACTAGACTTTCGTGTAATTAAGAATGAAAGAAAAACTTTGTCTAATACGGTTTCTCGTTATAACGTTAAGAAATTGTATTTGTATTAAATTACAGTCTTGATAAAAATCAACGTCCATTACGGCGCGAAGACGATAAGTCGAGATAGAAGACTCTAATCGAAAAAGAAGACTAAATATATCTCAACTCTCGTTACAATTCAAACAACCACGATTTCCTTTTGTAAATTTACCTTGCACGCGTCGATAAAAAATAAAAAATCCCATTCGGATCGACACATTCTTCTTCTTCTCTCGCGTATTTCGCGATTCATCTAATAATGCTCGTTATTCGAGAATAATCGCTGTTATTTGCGATTTATTGCGACACGACAGGAGAGATGTACAAAAGTACTGTTCTTTTTTATCATCCTGCCAGCTCTCTTTCTCTATTACGTCTCTCAAAGAGCACGTTATATTTTAAAATAAAATATATTTTCTTCTGCTGTATATCATTGATGCGATGTTCGTAGTGCATCGAGAATATGAAAAAACACACTCGGCTTATTATATATACTGTGTGAATTTCTCGTCCAAGAGATATCGATATTGAATATCTCTAGTTAATGCAACTCTCTATCAAATCAAGTCTGAGCGTAATAATGACTGTGAATACCACGATTTCTCAGACAGTCATGATAAAACTCTGCTCAACGAATATTTATTATTCGCAGCATATGCGGTATTCGCGTAACATAAAATTGTTGGCGACCACAATACCGTTTCGTATACGAGAGTCGATATGCTAGATTTTTCTTTTTGTCGGCAATAATAAAAACTCGCAAAATATCTAGCTAGTAAAGTAACGGCGATTTGACATTTTGCGAGTGTTTATAACTGCTATTTCAAAAAGAAAGACACGCGCCGCGTTCCATATCGTTTCTTCTACATTACGGTATTATTTTTAAAAAATTGAGCCACGCAATATCACCACTATTACGTGGTTGCAGTTGTTTTATTTTACATCGATTGTTGTTCGCTATCTCTATGTAATCCGCAAAATGCCAAGATTGACTTACCGAAGGTATCGCCTCTCTTATGAGGATCTTTCTAAGATCTGCACAGGCATAGATCGGGATCGTTACGTAATACGCTTACATAGTAAGCATCGTGCAAATTGTAAGCTTGCAATAAAATTGGCCGTAAAGGCATTTCTCGTTACTTCGCATCACGTATATGTATAAATTCATAATGGTCGGCATATACATAGATATGTATAAACCGAATCCATTCGCGTACTTTTCATCGTACTCCTTCTCTCAAAAAGACTTTACAAAATAGGTCTCCGTAAATTACATCCTCAGCACATCCTCATTCTATATCAAAAATTCTATCCTTTGAAAAATGTTCTGTAAAAATTATTTCTCTCTCCGGAAAAATAATTCTTTTTTTCCTCCTCGTATATAGCACGCAAAAATCGTTTCTCTTTATAAATCTATTTACATTAGACACTATTTTATTTGCAATCCAAGTGCCTTTAAATATCAAAGACACACCCGTGATAGAAATTCGAAATTTTTTTTTTACAATAGAACTCTTATTAATCTTGCATTAATGAATCGTTTGTAATCTTAAAACACACATATGTATCGTGCAAAGCTCATGTACGAGAAAATGATTGTTCAAATATATCATAATCTAAAATTTTCAATCATGTTAAAACAAAATACATGAACATATCGTCCAATTAGACATATATGACGTTAAGATAAGTATCATCGATAGATTGAATGTTATTATTCATATGTTAAAATAAACCAAAATAAAATAATAGACGGGAGGTGCAAAATATTTCAGGAATGCTACAAACGCATGCAATAGATGCTAAACTGTACATACTATGTACATGCGACATGCATCCAAATTATTAATGTGCCAAGTCATATTTATTATTCACAGTGCATGGAAATAGCTCGTCGGAATAGAAATCCCGTTGCAATATAATTAAATACGACAAATTTTATATTTGAAATCGGATATATATATCAATTATCATGCACATGTTTCAAGAAAAATTTGCATGCACAAACTGTTTTTCAGAGATTAATAGTATCCAATATAGCATCTTCTAATGTCAGATATCTCGATATAATTCTCGTAAAGTATATCAAATGAAAAAAGATATTGAAATTCGTTGTCACGAAAACGGAAACCACTAGAAGCGGTAATGCGGGAGAATGTTTTGGAACAAATAGGAAGCTTAATCTGGAATCCAAGTACTATTCCCCGATAAAATTCAATGTAAATGAACTCCCTTTGAAAACTGCGTAAAGTCCATATTACGCTGTCGATATTATCTCTTCTTCAACAAGACAACTAAACATTATCCTTCGAAGAATAATATATAATGAATAAAATATATATAATATATGATCTGTATATATATACATATATAAATAAATATTTATACTTCAACAATAACATAAGCTGCTGATTCGTGCAGAAACGTCAGAACGACGAGAAAATAATTGCGCTGATATCGCAATGTATATACTTGCGTCGTCTCGTTCTTGTACAGATATGAAAATATCCTCGAGAAGCAGCACATCTGAATACAGATGTTTTCAATTATGGCGTTCGAGAGATTCGTAGCCGCGTTATATCTTCGTGCAAATTTAATCAGTTGCTTAACCGCGAAGAAACTAAAACTTTTTCCACGAGTAAAGGTAGACGTAGCATTGATTCATACTCGGAATATGAAACGTATCCTTCGTTTTCCTATATATTACGGTAGCTGGAATCGAATTTTTTTAAACTTAAATACGTCATGATAATTTATCCAGAAATTAATTTTTTGTGTCGATAAAATGTCAAAAGTAAAATAATAAAAACAAAGCAAGGCACTAGAGTAATCAGTCGTCAAGCATGTAGACACATGCATCGTCTCTCTCGAATGTCGTCGCCGAATTCAGGCATTTCGAATTAAAACAAATCTATAATAACATGTCGATGTCGCTCGCGAAAAAAAAATCGCGAACAACTTTGCACCCGCGGGCTTATTAACCGTTAGAAATTAACGATGCCGCGCGCGATGTTTCGGAACGGATATCGTATCATCCGTATTTTCACCAAAAAAATCATCGATTCTTGGTGTCGATATTTTTTTCTTTTCGATCGCAAACGTATACCTGCCGTATAATCTGCTCACACGGGCGGCGGCCCCTTGGGATCACGGGACCACATCGGGAACAACTGTGTAGATAGCGTAGTCTCGCAACAGTTCGGCTTCAGGAAGTATTCGACGCAGACGAGGACGACCTGTAGGCAGACAAGGACGAAGCAGCAGCACTGCGAACACTTGAGGATTCGCCAGATCCAGCCCCGTGGAATCGGCTCGCTGTCCGGGTTGTCACCCTTGGCGACGCCAGATTTGCTAATCGCGATCGGCGCCGATTCCGCATCGCTCTTGAATATATCGACGTCATCGGATTTCTTGCGCTTGCTAGAAAATAGGAAAATGAGAAATAATAAATAACTGAAACAATTGCCGAGTCATACAGTCGAAGCCGCAAAGTACGTGATAATGACACATTTGTTGTCTTTATTTGGATTATTTTATTTTTAGATTATTTGGAATTAAATTATTATTCATTAATTATTTTATTTTATTTTTTTTTTATATCGACGTACTATTCCGCATTTTACATATTATAATAATTAATAATCAAATATTATAAATTTTATGTATCATAACTTACTTTGTCGTTTTTCTTTTGTGAATTTTAGTTTATCTTGCAGTCCTATTATTATTTTTGTGTGACAGTTTGAAATTCTTGTTTATTATTTTATTATCATTTTATATATAATTTTATATATAATTTTAAAATATCTTGTAATATAAATAAAATAATAAAATTGTCACATTTCATTATTTTATTTATATCATAAGATATTTTTCCGCGTTTTTATGTATTATAAACATATACCATAACTTACTTGCTGTCTTCCTTTTCTGAATTTTTCTTCTGAATATCTCGAATAATAATTTTATTGGACACTTTGGTTTTAAAAATCTTGTTTCGCTGAATAATGCGTTAATCCGCTAGTCAGACGTATAGTTGACTAGTTTAGAGAAACTTGAACGAGTTCGCTCGCAACTGCGAGAAATTAATTTATGCCGTCCCACGGGTCATGATAATACGAGTAAACCTGTAATAGCAAAGTTGGCCCAGGGAATCAATTTGGAAATGCACGTAACTTGGAAGTTGCGAGAGATTGCGCTTGCAATTATATAGCTTATGGTGTTACCCTGCTTCTCCATTAAGATTACACGTAAGTGTACGATTATTTAACTTTTCTGCGCATGTTCGCTCCATCTCCGCTTTAATTTGCAGAGACGGCAAGATAAAATATTCCGTTTGCCGGTTAAAATCTAACTGTTTACGTGTGATGTGGAGTAAGATGAAAAAGAATGAGAAAAAACGCAACGTGGCGAAAACCATCGATTGCGGAAAATGGCGCAGGATTTTTATACCGGGTTTTTCTTTTTTTTACGACTCGGCGTGGCAGATGCTCTTCACGCCCGTGAAAACTAAACCTATTATCGCCACCACCATGAGCGGTGATTGAACGCGGCTATAAAAACATCCTTAAAACAAAGTTTAATAAGATACGCCGAGCTGATAATTGGAATCTCAAGTAATTGAGTCGGCAAACAACGGCATAAAATTGTATTTGTCAAACGAGAGGAGATGAAAAAATCTCATACTCTCTACCGGGTTTATCGGCGTTATTTAATTCAGTAATAACCATGAGTAAATATCATAATTATTGTTTATTTAATGAAGGTAAACGTTAATAGTAATTATGATATAACGCTGATATTTTTCTGACATAATAATATGCAGTGATAGAGGCTGGAAAGAATGCAAAAAATTGCGCGGAAAATGGCGCAGAAGAGAGAGAGAGAAGTACAATTTTGCAGTTTTATCGTCTAAATTTTCTTTCATGTTTTAAGATGTGCACGATCGTAAGAGACGAGATGCACAAGTCCGTCTCGCTCGGCGAAGTTCTCATATTCAAATGAGTAGCCGCCTAATGCCTGGCGGCTATGGACCAACGACCTCGCGTCCCCACATCTAAATAGTCGCCTTCATTCTTCACTTCCCATTTCGACGTTATGCAAATGGAATGCGAGCGAGAAGAAGGCGTTTCTTAATCCCGCGAACGTCTCATTCACAAATACTTCAATAAATTTGGACGAGCATTTGTCCGTTTTTATCCGATTCGATTCGATTATGATTTCGTTTAAATGAACGTCGTGTATACGCAATTATTAATTATTTGATCCTTGTGTCATTTACGTTTTAATCTTTGTAATCTCGTATAAAAACGATATCGGACCATTGCACAGAGAGAATTTTCTCTTGGAATTTATCCTAAAAATCATGGTAATCATGGGGACAATATGATATTAAAAGAATTTTAAAAGTTTCTCTCTGATTAATATTTATCACAATAGAAAATATTAATATCCGCCAAAATAAAATATAAAATATGATTGATTAATTTTACTATGTACATATTAATATTTTTTATTGTGAAAAATATTTATCAGAGAAATTTTTTAAATTGTTCCAATACTAATATATTGTCCCACGATTAGCATGATTTTCAGGATAAATTCTAAGAAAAAATTATCTCCATGTGAGAAAGATGTTTCGCTCTAGAGTCTTAAGTATATGATTTTCTGAAATTTGTCAGTTCATCGTCCTTTCCAAGACATAGATGTAACGAAATAAGTAATTCCGCGTAAAGGAAAATTAAGTTTTTCTGATAAATGTTGATGATCTAATATCGAGCCATTACGAAATTTGATAAAAATGAATCGATAATCGTACTTACCCCACGGAATAATGAATTATGTCATTTATACGCAATATTAATTATTCGATCTTCAGAACTGTGTCATTTATATTTTTACACATTTTAATCTTCGTAATCTCGTATAAAAAATGATATCGATTTTCTGACATTTGTCAGCGTTTATCAGACCTTCCAAGACAGTTTGTAACAAAAAAATAAGCAACTCCGTGTAAAAAAAAATGGAGCTGTTCTGATGAGTGTTGGTCCAATATCGAGCCAGTAGGAAATTTAATAAAAAAATGAATCGATGATCGTACTTACCCCACGGGATAATGAATTATGTCATTTATACGCAATATTAATTATTCGATCTTCAGAACTGTGTCATTTATATTTTTACACATTTTAATCGTCGTAATCTCGTATAAAAAGTGATATCGGACCATTAAGAAAAAGATCTTTCGCTCTCGAGCTTTATCTGACTTTCTGACATTTGTCCAAAACAATTTGTAACAAAAAAATAAGCAATGTTGGTGTTGGTCCAATATCGAGCCAGTAGGAAATTTAATAAAAATGAATCGATGAGTCGTCCACAAGATAATGAATTATGTCATGTATACGCCATATGAATTATTCGATCCTCAGAGCTGTGTCATTTACATTTTCACACATTTTAATCTTTATGTTATCTCGTAGAAAAAGCGACATCGGACCATTATGAGAAAGATCTTTCGCGCTCAAGCTTTATTTAAATTTCTGACTCTTGTCAGCGTTCATCAAACCTTCCAAGACAGGTGTAACGAGATAAGCAACCCGTGTAAAAAAATGGAGCTCTTCTGATGAATGTTGGTCCAATATCGAGCCACTACGAGATTGAAACGAATCGATGAGTCGTACTTACTCCACGGGATAATGCATCTGATTGGCCGCCGTTCGTTTGATGGCACGCGCGTCCATGCTCGTCGCCGCCGCCGTGCGCACGATGAGCTCCCTGCACTGCCTCTGCAGATCGCGCAGCTCGCTCTCGGCGTCCTCGATCCTCTTCTTGAACTCGACGAGGGCCTTGCTGCCCGGCGCGAGCTGCGCCTCCAGGCTACGCGATATTCGGCGAAGATTCGCCAACCTGTGCTCGCGCTCGCTCAGCTCCTGCTCGCTTCCGCTTCCGTCGGAAATCCCGCTATCGGAGAGGGATCCGCCCTCCTGCGTCAGACTGTTCGCGGAAGTAGCTGCGAATTTTACGGCGCAGTGCACCTCCTCCGTCGTCGCGTCGTTCACCATCGGGTCACCCTAGAACACGAATTAATAAATGAATTAATAAAAATTTAAAGGAAAGTTCTTCATTAACGATCAACCTGATGTTAACCCTCAGTTACCACTCATTTTTGGCCATCCTATTTTACCACTCATGGTTTAGAGTAACCCAGAGTCTTCTTTTGTTTATATTTCTGGATCTAACGAAGCTATTTTAAAGTATTTTTTTTTCAATCGATACGCCAGACAGTAAGAAAAAAGCATATATCGGTACAAATGTCACCAGATTTCTACGACTCGAGATATTTGAGAAAAAATGAAAAGTGATCTTCTGAAATTTCGAAAAAATCATTCTTGATACGGGTTAACGTAACCCAGAGAGGTAACTGAGGGTTAAAGTGCAATTTTGAATTAATCATCGCGATATTTAGTTATCGCGAAAGTAGCTTCGAAGAAAGAATGTTACAGATGGATTCCACGATGAGACGGCAACGTGCGACGGATCGCGAGGTCCCGATAAGTGCGAGGATATACCCGGGAGAGGACACGATATCGAATATTGTATAATCCACTCTTGCGCATCACCGGAGGGCATCGAAAAGCGTATAAGACGATTATATAGAGTACGGAGAGGAGGGAAAAGGCAAAAAGACCAGGGGGTATAAAGGTGGAAAGGCGAGAATAACGCGGGAACGTTAGATGCTAAATTGATCGCGATACGTCAACCAACGTTTCGGAAGATTTGCATACGATTTTCGCGATAACCTTCTGCAAACGTAAGGGTTCAGGGATCTGTTGGAACTTTTTATCGGCACGATTCTCTCTTTCTCTCATTTCTACGTATAAATGAATAAAGAATAAATCACTATATATTTTCGCAAGAGAAATATGCGTCTCTTGGATCAGATACGTTTGTACTATGAAAGAGCGACAGCATGGCGCGAATACTGGCGAAAATGCCAGTGGTAGCGGTCGAATAGTAGACAGACAGCCAGAGAAAGAGAGAGAGAGAGAGGAAGGGTGGCTGCGTGGAAGAAAGGGTAGGTTTAGGCTGTTTGCAACGGTGGAGAGACGGAGGGAACGAGCCTCCGGTAATGAAAAGCGCGATCCGCATACCAAGTAGCAACCTTCAACCTAACCTATATATAAGTCGGTATACTCTCTCTCTCTGTCTCTCTCTTCATCTTCCTCTCTCGTATAACGGATAGTAGGTACGAAGTGAGTCGAGACGGAATCCACGCCGGTCCGAAAGACCAATCATGCGCGAGAAAACTGCAAGGAACTTCTTATTTCCGGTTACATTCTCCAAACATACACGCATATATATATATATATATATATATATATATATATATATATATATATATATATATATAGTATTGCGCGTACAGCCGCAAAAAGGTCGATCATTTGTCTGCTGACGCAAAATTCGATCTGATCCTCGAAAGCAAGAACCGAGAGAAAAATGCAAATTTATTCGTAGGGATATAATTATTATTTATATCAAAGCGATAGAGAGAACGAAAAAATGTTGTTCGCGAAAGCGCGTTTCTCGAAATCAAATATTTATTATTACACAGTGAAGGAAAATCGAAAGGGCGCGATTGATGAACTTGTTCGCGTTCAGCAAAAGGGAATTTTTTTCGGTGACGACACAACGGACTACAAACGCAGAGAGAGAGACTGGACCAGCCTCTCGCAACGGCTGATATTAAATTTGTATTTTTACGCTGATTCCACGGGCCATTCCCGTACGTGACGCGAAAGGGAATCGTTCGGGCGATTAACGATCGGAGTTCCCTAGGGAGCCGCTGGCTCTGAGATGGCCAACACCCTCGACAGAAACTCGGACTCTCTCGCTGTATACCCGGCGCCGAAAACTTATCTCCTCCGTTTCCTCGCACAGGCTGGCACAAACGTACACATTGGCTAATATTTTATTTACTACCTATCAAAACTTATGGATTTTTGTTGCGGTTTGTAAACTAGCTGTCGACCCGGACTCGTCGCGCGCTTCTATTAGTTTCGGCGATCTGAGATAATGCGAAAAGAAAAACACCGTATGAGGTTCTGTAAAATATTTTTATAATTTTGTAATTTATCATCCCTCTCTTTTATCCCCCGTCGTCTCGGGGATAAAGCGCAAGGAAAGAAAGAATTGTAACGTTACAACGAAAAGAAAGACTGTAATGTCGAGTGCTTTATCGTAGTCTTCCCTCTTCTTCGACTCTCGGAGACAGGGTTGGTTGGTGAAGGGGTCAGGGAGAGGTAAAGTCGTAAGAGGAAGATGGAATAAGAGAGGAACTGAAAGAGAGAGAGAGAGAGAGAAAAAAGGAGAAGCGTAATGTCAAGTGCATGAAATTATTCCCTCGAGTGCTGTAGATCGGCAAGACTAAGAACTTTCCGGATTATACCGCCTTGACGGGAGTTTGAATACGTTAAAATATAGACGCGATACACATGGAAAGAAGAAACGAGACGAAAAGGAAAGGCTCCTATTATTGGTGAGAGAGTATTGTGTCGCGAGTCGTACGTCTTCTTGACAGGCGAAATGAGCATGGGGACAATTGGAAATTGTTATGAAGCACCTACAACCGATCGGTGTTGGCGTCTGGGAACAAAATCGAGTGCAAGCTGTCAAAAGTATTCTCGACGTATAGATCAAACAACATTATATAATATCTCTCATACCGATAATTATCTTGCGATGAGAGAAAAAAAATTTAATTAATTATATCTCTCGTAATAATGTTCTGCGATTAACAAAATTAATTCGCAGGGATTTATTATTATTATCCATTAATTATTCAATTTTCCCAATATATGCTAATAAAATGTTACACGCGCTTGATTATAAATTTATATATATACGAAAGAACATTATTATGATATTCTATATTATGCGCGAATAGCTTCTATTAGATACTCGAATCTTCGAGAAACCGAGCAGTACGTCTTCCCGACAAGCTAAACGAGCGGGCCGATCGAAAATCGCGGTCGCGGACTTACCACCTCTCGCGCTGCACCTTCAACTATTTCTCCTTTACGTCCATAAAGCAAAGAACCCGACGTAAAACGGGCTTGCCAAGAGATTTACTTTATATGCAAATTAAAGACGGATATGGTGGAAATAGGGGGATGTGATGGCGTTTAACGGAGACGCGATATCGACAAGTATCATCTGTCAAACGTGCCCCTCCGACCTGGGCCCCTTCTTCTTCTTTTCCTCCTTCGAGAGCAACCTCCGCGTGTTCAGGCTGGTCGAAGATTTATCTCTTGACGCGCACCATATGTGTACATACATATATGTATAACGCAATATGTGTATATACTCTCGTATGTAGTTTTTATTTTCTCAATTATTTTAGACACGAAGACAACTCTGTACAAATATGCTCTTGCTATCTTCGAATGATAAAAGATGACAAAAAAAAAAAAAAAAAAAAAAAGAGATTTGCATGTCTCCTTTTAAAGCATTGTCGGAATAATAAATCGGATAGCGCGATATGATTCGAGCACGATATGATTCCGTTGCTTAATAGCGCATGTGCTAATCGAAAGAAGAAGATCGGATACGGTATCTCCAGCAAATCTGTACCGCGCAATCCGAGGAACGCAATTTGCGAAGCGATTTAGCGTGACGTATCGGAAATACGGGATATACAATCCGCATTATAATCTCGCTTTCCTTTAGGTAAGTTACATCCCCGGGACCCGCGAGTCTCCCAATCTATGCGGGGAAATGGTTTTATGCACACAAGCGATACCTCTGGGAACCGTTACCCCATCCACCCGGCCTTGAATAATTGCTAACAGCCATCTAACCGATTGAAAATCAAGAACGCGATGGGGATATCTGACAAACGATTTGGGAAAGATTTTGTAGTTTGCTAACTTTAATTCTCTATGTGCATATTCGGTAAAAAGAACTTGGGTTAATTTAAAAAGACGATGGAACGTAAGTCAAACTGTTCTAATTTGGGAAACGATTGTTATTATTGAACACGTAATTCTACCATTATTATGCAAATGAGGCTCGATCGAAAGAAGTAAATATTTTTAATTGCGAGCACAATACCTGACAATTGACGTCTTGTCTCTCGGATAGAAGCCGGGCGAAGTGAATGACGGAGGAGGCGATTCTCGGAGTGGCTCCCGCTTGCAGGGCTACGTCCAAGACCGCCAAAGATTCTTTGTCGTTCTGCAGAACGGTTTGGAGTTCGGCCAAGCATGTACCGAACTGTTGTACGTCTTGCAAGGCGCGCAACTGCTGCTTACACCTGAAAAGAAAAACGCGGAGATGCGCACATTTATAAACCGCATCGCATTGCAAAAGCCATATATTGTAACGGGTACGCGATATTTCTCTTCTCAGCTATAGATAAATAAAATATCGATATAATATTCACGATATATATACATAATATTTTAGAGAATATTAACACTTTGAGAAAGAGAAATCTCTTTTTCTTTATTTCGTTTATTTCATATGAATTATTCATTACGTCTCGAAAGGGTGAATATAAAGAACGCGAAGCAAATTTGTGCAGAAAAATCATGCAAGTCAATACAATAAAAAACGGAAAGAGAGTAAAGCCGTTGCGTAAACATTAAGACGTCGAATTATTAGTAGGCCCTCCCTCCGGCACTATCGGCAAATAAAAACACTTTATTCCAGGTCAATCTGAACGTCCCCAGCGAATGTACGAATGAATCGAAGAGCTGGTTGTGTCTCTTTCCCGCATTGGCGTATCCGTCAGTAAGGCGAAAAGTCGATAAGTTTTTATCAGATATTTTTACAACGTTGATTTTGTCATTGAAAAATTTCAAATAGTATTTTTTTATTTACAAATAGATCGTCCACTCATTGTATGAATAATTCGAAAGATTCGATAACTATCCTTTGTGGAAATCATCTCTCGCTACAAGAATAGAAGTGTCTCTCCATACCAAAAGGGATAGGATTGACCTCTGCAAACCCCAATAGGTCAGTGGTAAACCCCTTTGAATGGCCTAAACCCCTATCAAAGAGGGGACTCGAGTGCTCATATGGAAATTAAAAGGGGGTTGTAATGATAGCGCCAACTATTTTTCGCTCAATGGAAGAAGAATAGCGATGTAAAGAAATAGTTACTATAATTTTCTAAAACAGTGTTAATGTGTGTGTGGTTTGCGTAACTAAATGATCATAAAAAAATGTTCAAAAATTTCTTATGAAATTAATTTCGATATTAAATATTTTAATGCATGTAAAGACCATTAAATAAAAATTGAAAACACTTACATTCTAAAAATTAGAATTAATTATTAAAGGTGGAGTAAAGTGGAGAATCTGTAAAAAGTGATTTATATAAAAGAAGATACCTATATATTTTTTTTTCGAACCCCTCGATAAAATAAAATATCGATAAGTTTGAAGCAAAAAAAAAAGTTATCGCAGAATCGAATATTGCATTGACCGTTTGATTCGTTCGCTTTTCTGTCGGAGCCGTCACGTAGAAAAGGTCCGTGATTAAACGCGATCTCCGTTAAAGCTAGTAATCCCGCGACACGGGTCAAAATCCCAACGAGAAGAGCCCTTACTGGCGGTACCTATGCCGCTCTCGGTTTCCGCTGTTTGCTTTGGTGGCTTCATTACCTCTCAAAATATTTGCCTAACGTCACACGTCGGCCGACGAACGGCCAGCCGATGATCCAGTACTATTCTGTACGGCATATACCGTTGAACCCCGCAGTCAAGATACACTCCAAATTAATCAAGGAAACTATCGAGCCGTTTTCTCGTATTAACGTAGCGTGATTTTCCCAAAATCCACATCGCGTCATGCATCGACAGGCTTTTATTCATAAAAGTCAATTTTTTTTAATTTACGTTTTTTAATTACGTTTTTTTCATCGAATCAAGGCAAAGCGATAAAAATTTTTAATACAATTTATATATGCAAGTTTTTAAATTTTATTTCCAAATATTTGGATTTAAGAAACAAGTAATCTGTAATGTCTAAAACTGTAATCACTTACTTTTGTGAGGTCTCGTCGTGTATCCTATAAAGGTCCGCCACGCTGTCCTTGAGGGCTATGCAGATTAAGGGCGCGGATGCACCGAGATCAGTGATCAGACGATGCGCGGAGACATTCAACGCCCGCATCGGAGTATTGTGGTCATCTAGAACTTTTATGTCGGCCTGCGAACATAAAATATACATTTTTAGTAGCTAGCTGGCTCGCCTAACTCAAACGAATTACCCGCGCGGTGCAGGGGCAAACGCGCAGGGGTCGCTCGAGGGTGAAGGTGATGTATAAAGTGGCTACGGAACTAAGAAGCTACTTCTGCTAAGAAGTTACAGTTACACGTGGTAGATCTCTAAGCGAGATCTTTTTTTATACCGTATGTAGTATATCGAGACATCGTGATACTTCTTTTATACACGTACACCAGTCGATACAATACTCCGTGATTTATTTATCCTCGTGTCTTCTAAATTGATTTTTTATCCAAAAACATAAGATCGATAAAAATGCAGCGTGTCGATATAGCGAACACCTTGTACGATAATCCTCGGTAGAAGAGAAGGAAATTACTTTTAAAGAACGGAAGAGACGAGGCGGAGGATATAAGACGCGCGAGATGACCGCAAGGACGAGCTTTACGAGCTTCCCCGAGGTCTCCTCCTCGTCACGCGATGAGCGAGACAAATGGAACGGGAAGAGAAGAGAAACGCAGGGAGAGGTCTCTCGTTTTCGTTCTCTTACGTCGCCCTACGTTCGCCGTCGTAAACCCGGGTTTATTTATGCGGTCCTCGTCGGGGATGTGACAACGTGACGTGGTTACTGCATCGTACGCGTGTTCCTACAACCCTTATATTTAGCTATGCGCCGTCGCTGATAAATACTCGTTTGCAGCGTTTCAGAACGACGGATCCTCGAATCACCGGACACGAACATTGAATCAAGGGGATGCATTTTTTTTTTCCTTTATTTTTCACTCAAAGTGGAAAATTTTAATCGAAACACTTCCTCCCGTCATCGCGAGCAGCTGGCGGCTAGTCGTCTGGTTTTGTCCGCGTCGTCGAGCGGGCCAAATCGCGCGATGAAAAGGAGAGCGGTCCCCAGCGCGGTTTTGCGAAGTGCGCGGCGTGGATTTGCTCCGCTGTCCGGCGAAAAGTGGTTGTCATTGATATTCCGGGCGCATAGCAAAGGCAGAAGCGACCGCGCCGCGGGTTCTCCCCTCTTTTCGTAACCACCCCTGGTTGACTGGCTGCCGCCGCTGTTACGCTTCTCTTCTTCGTCGCCGTCGCTACCATCAGCATCAACGACGCACAAGCAGCGGCAGCCACCAAACCATTCTCTACCCTCGCAACGCAGGCACGCACATTCCGATCTAATTCAATTTCCAATCAACAGCCAATCAATTGATTCGAATTCGGTATACAGAGCGGTCGCTGCGCGTTCGGGACCTGCATGTCTATGAGGGCCGTCCCCCTCCTTCCTCACCCCCGCTTCGATCATACCGCCGAGCACGTACCCTGTAAAAGTAGAGAATTAGCTTTTTACGTCTCGTAATTCCGCGGTACTAAGTGGGACGGAGAGATCCACTGCCAGTATTTTAATTGTGCCACGCAATACTTCTCCCTCGTGGTATCGCGTATCCGCACGCTTTCTTTCTCTATGATACGTATAAGGATTCGATCTTGCGAGAAAAAAAAATGCTACGAAGAGAGATGAAAAAAGAAAAAAGGAAAGTGTAATCAATTTTTCAAAGTCTACAATAAAGTCAAATTTTGATACGATAAAACTCTATAATGTTAATTTTCAGTTTAATCCGAGATTACAACGATCACAATTTGAGTCTAATATCATAATTTCGTCGATTCTTCATATCTGAAACTCTGTCGCGAAATTATCGCGTAAGTTGATTTATACCAGGAATAAAGCGTAAAGCTCCAGCGACAAGCTGTAACGGTAAATGTTTGTCCGGATTTGACGCAATAGCATAATCAGCAGGTGACGAGCCTTGATCGAATCGCTCGCGTCGAATGTACGTGCCGCGGAATGTGCACACGTGCAGATGCCCAATGCAGGGTGCCGCTTAGCGATGCATAATACATAACGAAACGTTCACAATTCTGCCTCGCGCGCGAGCGCGTCAATCTGCATTCGCTCGCGCAGTTGCGCTTTTCGGCGTCGCGCGACCTGCATTCCAATCGCCAAGCTCTCCACGTGCGTCGACGTGCGGACGACAATCATCCGCGATATGTAATCAGCTTGTTGACGGGCTCTCCTCCCGCGCGACACGCACGTACGCACGTCTGCGCGATTACATTGTCGGTGCTGCGTATGTAGTTTCGACTGTGAACGAATCACATAATATTAATATGATAATTAATGCGATATTAATTCTTTGGGACTCATGGGGATTTTTCGGGAGGAGCTAGAAAGCTACAGCTTCCGCGAACGGGTACGCGAGTCTTACGACCGCGTCAAGGAAACTGATGTCGTGCTTTCGGGGAGACTTTGACGACCTTAAGCACGAGACCGTAAACACAAGACATGTAAAACAAGAACGCGGACCGGCGCGGATCGGCGCGAGCTACACACATACAACATCTCGTGCATAATGCAGCAGAGCGACGAGTTCACCCGGCAAATGTTGGACGCTAATACATCTTGATGATAGATAGGGAGCATGTGTTTGGTCTTCGCAATGAGGCTGGGGAGGGTGCGGAGGATATTGCGGCAGGGTGAAAGAGAGAGAGAGGGAAGGCGGCTTCCACGGCACGATAGGTCTGGTGGATGTGCCGGGAGGATCGGGGGATGACTCTCGGGGGGAGTGAAACTCCACCGAGGGGGTTGGCTAGGTTCGCCGGCGTTCGCTCTCCGCGCGAGTTGCGATGCCGAGCACGTCGCCGTCAGACGAGCGTACGTGCGACACGACTACGCTTTTACGCCACTACCTCTGCCTCCTCTCTACTTGGTTCCTGACTGCTCTCTCTTCCCGTTCTCTCTATCTCTCCAGCATCCGCCTTCTTCCACCCTCTCTCCCTCGCTTTCATTTTGTTCCTCTTCCCCGATCGCGAGCTTTCTGCCTGAGCTTCTGACTTTTCTGTCTTACCCGCCGCGTACCGGAGACATTTCCAATAACGCGCTCCCTTATTCCGATTCGATTTCCGAAGAACTCGCAGAAATTCGTCAGAAACTTAGTAAGCCACGTACGTTCAAAACTGAATTTTTTTTTTCCAAATTTTTTTAAGCTCGTCAACTCTCGAACATCTCTGGTCATCGAATCAAATATATTCATATGATAAATATCGTTAATTTATTTTTTTAGGGTTGAATACCTCGGTGCTGCGATTTGAAGAATTTGATATAATACTTTTGTTATGAATACGTGTGAATTATCTTCTAAGAGCTTTCATTTAGTAAAAATATATTTTTACTCAATCAATTTTAAACCAATTAATGTACTGTTTCAGATAATCGTGTCATTAAAATAAATATTATAAATAAAAAACGATGAAGAACGGGAGAGAGATTGAAAGATAAAGAAAGAGGGAAAGGATCAATGAGATTTCTGCTGTATCAATATCGATTGCATCGCAACGTAAGATCTCTTCCATAGCAGAAGAGGATACAACTCCACTGGTATATTTACCGACAGCGTGCAACGTACAATACATGCTTACTGCTGATAAAAATTACCTATAATATTATTTCACAAAAATAAAATTAAATAACATGTACGAAAATATATATTTCGCATATATATGCAATTCAAACTTCAATTAAAAATTATAAGTGACTTTTTTCATCACTTCCAAGCCAATATATGTATGTGCGTGTGTGTGAAATATATATATATATATATATATATATATATAAAAAAAGCAACTTACAGCAATCCTTTTAATACGATCATCGAGCAGATGCGGCTCCAAGACGATTTCATAATCGAATAGTCGATCGTGTATGGCTTTGAATCTTGTTCGCATGGTAGTCAATGCACGTTGAAGAGTGCCAGCAGTTTGCGCCTGTTCGACTCTCGATGACAAAGTCTCCCATCTTTCAATCATACCTAAACAAATTGCATAATATATAATTTAAAATTAGTTAAAATAGACACTTTTTAAAAATAGATAATAACATTATATGATTTTTTTCGAAAGCCCATTTATTCAGCCAATCAAAAATATTTTAAAGGTAAAATAGTTATAGAAAATTACTAAAATCTTAATTATTTCTTTTTACTCTTCAAAAATGATTTAAAAGGCGTATATAATTTGTAATGCGAAAAGTATAGCATGTAACGTACTATCATATATTAATTTAACGCACGCGAAATTGTATATTTTCCTACATCATTACAAATGACGGTAATTCAACATTTCTGACGCTCAATGGGTGCATTCGTGCGATTAAGTTTCCTTTTAGTCTTCCTTTAGCGAACTCCCAGGAAGCAGGTGAAAGGAAGGAAACTAGCAATTATTATCCTATATATTTTTTCGTTTCCGGGGCATCTCAAGCTATACTGTTATTCGTAATAACGGTGTTCTGTGACGATTTATATGCTTCTCATCGACCGGTTATGTAAAGCAATTGTGCACAAAAAGAAATCGTAAAGGTCAAGAGGCTTTATATCTGTACCGTACGACTTTCATGACCTCTTTTCTGTTTGTCGCTTTCTTTTATAGGGACCACTTTTTTCCATACCAAAATCGCATGTACACATACAATGCAAAAGATAGAAATATAGACAAGAAGCAAATAGCGATTGACTAATATATCGATATATCCCATTATGCATTTGATCTTAAAAAAAGGGGAAAAAAAGAAAAGAAAGAAAAAAAGAGCGTACGGAAAAGTTAGAGGAAAAATTCGACATGTAGAAAGTATCGCGTTTTACATTGACCTACAAGATATGACAGACTGTACAGGATGACGAGCAGCTAGGATAAGCGCGCGTCCAGTTTAAAAACCCACATGTGTTGCATACGAAATGTATATATGTATGGAATGTACAGTGCGATCGTATGCTTCGTCGCATATGATCGCTAGAGCGTAAATTGGCATCGAGAGTGTAGTGCCGCCCATATGGTTTTTAAACAAGGCAACCCACGCCGCCCCTTTCGCGGAAACGATGCCGTATGAATTAACGGAAAACTTTACGTACGAGCAGTTGCTGTGTAAAAGACGCGCTCTGAGAAACTTCTAAGCTCCGCGTTGAATGCGAACATGCGATGGATATATATATGGATATATATATATATATATACATTTAAAATATTTTTTTATATATGTTATTTAATAATATATATAAAAATAATATATATTATTTTATAAATATTATATATTTTTTTACATGTTTTATAAATATATATATAATTTTATATATATATATATAATATATATATATATATGACTTTCCCCAAACTAATCGTAATTTCTTTTCGGAAAAGTAGAACGATAATTAGGAGCACAGATTGTCGGGAGACAACGCGCAAACGTTTGAAGCGACTATCACGAGAGAAAGGATGATTGATAGATTTGGCAAGTAACCGGATTTGGATCGTATTTTACACGGCACTTATGTCATTGTCGGTCCCGGCAGTGCAAACTTCCGGGAAGATGATGGTTAATATTGCTGACCTCATATGATTTCGAGAGCGATTGTACGACATAAACTTTTAAATTCAAAAACATAAAAGAGAAAAAGAGAGGAGAAAGAGAGAGAGACGCGAAATTAACATTTTTGTTGCTTTTGGATACGAACGTTTACAATTTTAGCATAATTTCGCAGTATTCCGATACTTATTGTCAATAATTTAACAAATCCTTGAACGTTATAATCGTAAAAGAAACTTTCCTACAAGAACCGTCCAACCGGTTTTTCCTTTCGCGTAAACATGACGCCATTATACATTAGAAAAACAGAACTTGAAATATATGTGTATGGAGGGGGCGGAAAACGCTTAGGAAAGTTTGCTACGAGTAATACGATATGTTGTAAAGGAGGCTTCAAATGTCGATTACGCAAGGCTGAGCATTATTCGTGATTAATATTCACTGTACATAACTGCACGAACGCGCAATAATAATGAATGACAATCGTGAAGAGATAAAGCAGAGATACGTACGCAAATCGCTCGAGGCTACCTTTTCCCTTCGCGCGAGCATTAGAGCGAGAGAAACTCGGAGGTAACAGCTGATTCTGAACGATACGTCGATCCGTCTTTTTTCCTTCTTTTTACGGAATCGCGACGCGGAAGCTGGGTAAAAAAACACTACGACGGGCGGACGTCCGGTGACGTCCTAACTGATCCGAGCGCGACGAAACACTGCGACGACATTCGCGTTCGCGGGCGCGAGCAAGCACTCCGATTCGATCCCACGTGACACCTGAACGTAGTCGCGAGACGGAGAGCGAACGAGCGAAGTGAGCAGCGAGCGATAGCGCGCCAAGATCGGACTTTTTCAACGCGCTCTCTCTAGGAATCGGGGGAGAGTCTTACTTTATATAAGGTATGACTCTCTCGGATGAGTCCAGCGATACGAGAAGATGCTTGGCTACCTACGCGCACCTAACTACCTTGGCACCCACATGCACACGCTGTCCGGAGACTTAATTATAGATTTACGATCGAAATAAATTTGTCGTTAATCCCTCCTGCACTCGACACTAATCCATTGAGATAATCGAAAGTTATTTTGCGAATGAATTACTCCTAACGACGCCTATAATAGGCAATGCACTGCAAGGCAATTTATTTCAAGTGCGAATGAATCGTTGAGAGCATATTTTCTACTTTCTCTTATCTTTTTCTCTTTCTTTGGATATTCGAACTACGTTGATTAGAAAGTTTGTAGTGTTGTTTTTCTTTAACGCCAATCTAAATTTTCGCACCACAGAAGCATGTAATAATGCGTTAGCAGTCTATTTTAATTATGATAAATACGTCAGTTAATTTTTGTTATAGATCATATTGGAAAAATACATACGAAGGAATATTTAATTCTTATTTTATATATATACTTCATTGTTTGCATAATATTCTTTTTAGTGTAATTTTTTTACTTTCTATTCTATGTCTTGACGACATTTCTTCATCTCTATTTAAAATATATATGTATATAAATCTGTTAAATTAGTAAAACGCTGAAAATACCGTACTTATTAAATAATAATTACAATCGTTGCACAGATCGCATTAAAATAATAAAGAAGATATTACACATGCAATTATTTTCTAATACCTGTTTTTTAATAAACAGATTTATTGAAGAGATTTATTACAGAAATAATAAAAGAAATAAATATACGTAAGTATGTGTAAAATAAAATAAATATATATATATATATATAAAATAATTAAATAATATTAAAATGATTAATATTAATATATCGAGTTCATGCTTTTCTAAGTTTTCTTTCTTCTGTTTGTTTCTAATTAGGTATTTAATACATATTAGTTGTGCATATGAATGATAAAGTGATCAAATTAGAGTGAGAGTTTCGCAATGGCAGATTATGACTAATTTCAGCACAGAAGAACACAATTATATTCTTCAGTAGATTTATAAAACAGAATTATACAATTGTTATACGATAGAATTGCACACACTCAATATTTGTTATCTATTCATCCGTTGAAAAAATAAAAAACGATTAATACTGATAATATAAGATAAAAAAACAGATACGATGAAATAATGTGATCGTATGTCTCTTTGCACAAAAACAGCTTTTTACTGTATGTGTATTAACATGCAGTAATATTGAAATTTCAAAAGAAACTTTTTATCGTATTCCATTACAGGAAAGCAAGAGAACAAGTTCCCTCAGACCAAAATAACAAGTATAAAGCAATAATTATAATTATATAGAAGAACAATATAAAATTAATTAACTGATTGTACTCACCGCGAACTTGTTTCGAATATTTTTCATTTGGCAAGTATCCGTTTAGCGAATCCAATACATTCTTCAAACACCCTAAGTTTTCTTTACACGCAGACTCCACTTCGGCCTATTGGAGAGAGAAAGGTAAATTCGATTAACTAATATGCCTGCATTGTCATGACATATCATGACACAAGCGGAATATAAAATTGTACATTTTTATTAATCAAATTATTACATTATTTTATTATCGCAGTTAATATATCAATAATAAAAAATAGCACGCATGTTTTTGCTACTATTCCTCTTCCTACAATTAGACGATCATAACAATTTACACAATAATGCATTATTTATAATGATTCTTATTAAGTAAAAGTTTCATAGTTCATAATAAAAGACAAAAGAGAATATACAATATGAAAAAATAATAAAAAAATTTTGATTTTGTGTGTGAAAGAAAGATAATTATTATTATTAAAATCTCAGATTTTTCTTTGGTAAAAATAGTAAACTTTAATATATAAATTAAGACTTGAAATATACAGATATACGCATAAATCTTATACATGTCACAAAAATATAAGATATTTGTTCTTTAAGTATAATTAATAAAATCTACATTAAAAAAGTAGTTTTATCTCTAATCCAATATTATGTGATATATATGCTAATAATGTAGGAGAGGAAATATAATATTACAATATAAACTTAAATTATGTTTTATATATTCATACATGCTTAATGACATTTATGATACGACCAACTTAATATAATTACTATCTACATAAAGCAAAATAACGAATAAGACGAGTAAAGAGTAAAGCAAAGACCATATTCCAAAAGCATTTGTACTTTGACTTTGATACACATACAGGAGAACATTGTAATGCAAACATTAGTAACAAAATACGTACGAGTTCTGCAGGAATCGGACCATTGGATCTTATGAAAGCATTTTCAGCAAGTATAAGCTGTGATTGTGAATTTTCTACGATTTTTCGTAAATCTTCTTCATCACTATCACTCTCTTCCGTACTATCGCCAATTACCTAAAACACGATGAGTTTGCGTGAATTTGCTGATTACATAACATATATGATGTTTCCTTTCTCACTCTCTCATGAATAAGCACAAAACAATAGATACCAGAAATATGTACCATACATAAATGCACAAATTATCTATCATTATGCAAACATTTCATCTTTTCTTTTTCTCTCTTCTCTAATATTAATTACCTTATCAATCATTTATTGATAATATATTATTTCTATTGTCATTTATGTCGTTTTGTTTTAAGATTTACAATTCATCAATATTGTAATAAAATACAGCTATAAAAAAATTTTAAAAGAGAGAAATCACAATTCATGTATCAGAAAAAGTATACTTATATTAAAATTTATATCATAATCGGATAAGACATCTCAAACTTACATGCAATCATGAAAAAATAAAACACTTCTATATTGCTTGAAAAATTTATTTGACGTGACTGTGATCCAAGCAATTAATCTAACTCTAAGATGTTTTTAATGAATGTATGATATAATGATCTAAGAAGCTTTATGAGCGTATATTTCTATCAATAAACATAATAGAAAATGGCACAATTCGGATATCATATAGGTACATACAAATTATTAATGTATGATTTATGTATTAATTTTTTCTTTGGAACATTGGTATTTTTATAGAAAGAATATAGACACTTGATCGAGAAAGTATAGTAATACATGACGTACATGATGCGTGCGAATCTTAGGCAATGGCGAACTAGCAGGAATTGCGCTTATACTGGACGCGCACTCCGACTGACTATCGAGAAAATTTCGATAATCATCTCCAAAATCCAATAATCGTCGAGCCATCTCTACGTCTAATGGTTCGCTATAAGCTTCACTCATATACTTCTCCTGTAAATCAACAAATCGATAAATATAAAACAATGTTACTTTATAATATTATTTATTAAAAATGTTACACAATTATTTGCATCACCTGGTAATTATCCCAAGCCTGTTCGTATAACGAATTGTTACCAAGGCTGTTCATTTCTACGTCACTGTCTACATTTAACTGCTGACTAGTTAGTTCTTTGCTATTCGCCGCGTTATTCAACATATTATTATCGTAAGCGAGATGTCCTTGAGCACAATTATGATCCTCGCCTTCAATCTCCGACGTGGAAGCAATTGACTTGCAACAAAGTAGTCTGAGCGGCGTAGAATTGTTAGAAAGTGCCGTCTCCGCGTGTAATTGCTGGTAGACGGTACAACCCGAGAAGGACCCGGATTTAACGAGAGTCGTCGAACGACTGTGGCAGCTGTCTTTCGGAACTGTATGCATTGTGCGACTTGGAATCATTTTACGAGACGAACGTTGCTGATTCGAGCTACCATCGCTACCCGCCGAATGATGATTGGCATGTACGCTTTCCGAACTAGATTCGCTTTTACGACCCTAAATAAATATAAAATGATAATTTATCATATTTTTGAGTTTAATATAGTTCGAAGTCAAAAGCACGTTTAACGAACGTGAATAAACATTTTTATTATGACAAATACTTTTTATATTATAATCTAACGTTTCGCTTACCAAAGTCTTTTTACGTAATCTATTTTTCTTTCTGCGGAATGAAATATTTCTGACTACGCGATCATCAGGACATATAAGAGACTCTTCTAATAAAGTAGATGTGGAATTAAATGATTTCCGTGTTCCTCTGTAATATAAATACATTCGGTGATAAATCACTGCACGGAAAATTAATTAGTCATTCATTAACGTGTATTAACAATTAAAAAAATAAAAAAAAAACAAAAACAAAGATTATACTAAAAATAATATCACTTACGTAGCATCCAAGGAAACGGATTTAGTAGGTGGAGTTGTGACTAACTGATGAAGCGCGGTCTCTGATATAGAAAATGGTAAAATAGGATCGTTTATCTGAGCCAAATTAGGATTATTTCCGATTTGAGAGATACAAGAAACGCTCCACGGTCTAGATCCTTTTACTTTTTGTTTAGAACGCATTATGACCTTGGGCGTACTCTCGTCGGGGGATACTTCGTTAATAGGCGTTTTCTGAAAATTATAGAGTATCTCTTGTGAAGGGGATTGCGATATACACCCGAGAGCGCCTTCAAATCGGCGATAGGTCGCGACGCTGCTTTGTAAATCATCCGACGATATCGATTGTCTTTCTCCATCCGATTCTTCCGTCGTGTATTCACCGCTGGCATCGCAGCTGTCTAATGGCTGTAATATATATACGTACGTAATTACAATTACATCGTATATTCTATTATTCGATGTGTCCTTGCGTGTAAAAAAATCGCGTAATAATTTCATTATATACAAATAACAATATTATTATTGTTATCAAAAAAATATCAAATCATAATTTTACGCAAAATTTATATATCAACTGAAATATTTAATTCGATCTAAAAAAAAAAAAAACACTGTTCACCGTTCTCTACCATATTTTTCTAGGAGTATTGATCGATGTAATTTAATTTACCTGTGACCTGCCCTCGTAACTTCTCGACGCGTTCAACTTCAACCATTCCTTCACGCGCGCGTACTTAGCACGATGATTATTCGTTATGTTCTTCTCCTCGAATGCTAACTGTGAAAAGCTGCGCGAGGCTGTATGTCGCTCCTCGCCAATCAAATTTTCCACTTCTTTAATTAACCTCTGGATACTTGACTTATCATTCTTCCTTTCATCATCGCTATCTTTTTGCTGAGCATCATGATCGTGCATACATTCCGCTGACATTTCTCTCTTGTTATCTGCATTCTTCGCCTGCGTGAAATGCATTTTTTCTGACACAGCCACCCGTGGACTTTCGTCAAAATCTAAACGGACCACAACGTTCGTCCTACGCTGCTCCGAAACGACAAACGAATTATTCCGACGAGCAGGAGTATAAGTCCACTCTTCCTCGGAGGAATCGTCCACTGTGTTTGACAATTCCTGGATTGGTTGACTACAATCCGCCTCGGAATCAGTGTCCAGATGTTTAAAATAAAAGGTAGCACAGTTCTTTGATTTTCTATCGGACCTAAACATCAAGAAACAAATCTAGTACCGAATATATATAGCTAAGACTAGCAGTTTATCAAGAGGATCGAGAAATTATTTATGGAACTTATGCTACCTCGGCGAAAAATCAACGTTAAAGAGCTGATCAGGCAATCAATCAATTTTGGAACGATTACAATTGTATTGTTCGAGTTTGCGAAACAAACGTGAGAGAAATAAACAATGCTACTCACGTATTGAACGAGGCAGCAACCTCTGTTGCCCCACAGCGTTTAAGCTCGGTCTTCGTCCGCAGACCGTTATTAGATTTTTCCGTACTTTCGATTTGCACGGTATCCGCCGCGTCGATTTCGTCGCACGTCTCCTGCATCGCCGCTGTCGACGTTGTTATCGGTACGGTATCCGGTGTGGGCGGCATATCGTTGATGCTCAGTCCGTTGTCCTCGATGTCACCTTCCTCCCCTCGATCCCCCCCGGTAGACGCAATGGAACTAGTGGCTTCTCGTTTTGCCGGTTCGTCGGACCTTGCGTCCATCACACACAGCTGACACAATTCATCCTGCGCATCGTCAAAAAATATTATTTATATTTGATTAATTCGAGTTTACTGTATGACATGCTTGACATTTCATTATCGGAAAGTTCTCGCGCGATAAGCGATTAATTATCGAGCAAAACATTTATAAATAAGATATTTTATAATCAACCTTAATCGTTTTGAAAATAAATTTGCATCGCTGTACTGGACAAAATTTGGACATCAGAGAAGCTACGTCTGAGTATTTTAAATCTGTCTAAACTTCGAATGCTGCACAATGTCGATATATGGCGTGTCAAAGTGAAAGATATAATTCTTAAACTGTGTATTAAAATATCTATGATTTAAGAGGTAGACTGCTCTCGAAGGTCTTTCACGAGATCTCGGTCGCCCGACGCGGATACCGTGGTTTTTGTTACATAGTCGACCGCTATTTTTTGTCAAGATCACCGTCCACCGTGATGCATAGCCTTCTTACTGTACATGCGTGCCCGATTCATTTAACAGAAGCCGTTCCTCGCAAAGCCTTCCACCAGCGCAAGACTTTGTCCACTTAACACGTGCGGATAACGCGCTCTATTCTACACTACACAATGCAAAGTGATAGTAGTAAGCACGAAGCGTTCTTATCTTTCAGTAAAGCTAAGACTACGCTTAAGTTTAACTAGTGTAATTGCGAAATTTCAAGAGAGGAAGAGTAATTCGCGACTCTATTACTTACTCGGGTAAGGATGCGCTCATCGAGGTTGATAGGATAAGCGCTAACGCTGAGTTCCCGTCTATCGCAAGCAATATATAACGGTATAAGAATTAATTAAGAGCAAGCTGCGCCCATCATCGAAAGAATGTCTCAGCAGGGAGTAGAGTTTAACATCCCGACGCGTGAATCGAGAGATTCGCGCAACGCTCGAAAATCAGGTCAATGACTCCGTAATAGTCGCGTTTCGCGACAGCAATATGGAGAACAATAGCGGCTGCCGATTCGTGGAACAACTATACGAGCCGTTTCCTGTCTTTAGTCAATTTTTACGCAAGAGATGCAAACATTGCGAACGTTTTGCCTCGCGATCTTTTGTCCAAAAATACTATGAGCGAAACAACCTTGGATGAGGCTCTCTCGTTTGATTTAAATTTCTGTCCAAACATTATTTAGACCGATAATATTGCGTGATTACCAATCTTATCTCTCTCTCTCTTGGATTATTTTATATCCAATCGGAACATAAATATGACTCCTCCTCCATCTACTCGCGTGATTCACTCGTCGCATAAATCCCTCGTATTTTTATAACAACTGTTCCTCGGCTATGCGGTCACGACAGCGATCCGTGACAATAATAGGGTCTTTCCAATTCGCGAATAATGGATCTCGTGATCTAAAAAGTTGGCGGGATGATCCGGCTCGATCGGCGGCATCGCGGCCGAAAGGTCGACGAATCGAAGCCAAATAGTCTCTCTGTCTATGTTCTCGAATCGGGACGTACCTCGAAATACGATCCTTCGCCGACGGATCGGTTCTCGGAAGAGGCGTCGCTGTCGGATGGGTCGATCCTCGTTCCTCCAGAGACTGAGTGATGATACTCGGAGCCCGAGCTGTGTCCGGTGACGCGCCTCGTGCGTTCCGTGCGCGTCGAGCGAGCGGACTGTCCCGGTGATTCCGCTCCGGAGCCGCGCGATCGTCCGCGGCTGAGTCGAGGCTGTTTCGTGACCGGTTCCTCGTCGCTGTCGCTACTGCAAGGCGCGGCGTTCTGAAACAAACAGCCGAATCCCTTTTACTCGATACATTATAATAATAACAGTATGCGATTTTTCAACATAAATTTATTTCGTCGCTACCTATTTTATCTGTTAGCAACTAACTGTCGTCCGAAAATGTACATATATTGCTATACGTACATCACCCTTATCTTGTGTTAATAACTTATCGCTCACTATCAGCGCTGCTGCGTCATACGCGGTTGGAATTGATGAGACAGAGATAGAGAGAGTTGTGATGATGCCTGATGCTTTATTGAGATACTTTGTTCAGGTTTCTACAGCCACTTTCGACGAGAGATAACGGGATGAGACTGGATTCGTAGAAGAAAACTACTCGATAAAATTTTATTTATTTAGATAAATATAAGGTAGCAAGAGAGATTTTATGAAATAAAACTTCAAGGAAATTATATCTCCAATGGAAAAATTACGCGTGCTGAAGTTATAGAAGTGCAAAGGCCTACCGTCTCCGTATCTATATAACTGTCATAAACTAAGTAATAAACTAAGTATTTGTGCCCATGCTATCAAGTAAGGATAGATGACGGCACGCAAAATGACTGACAAAAACATTCCTTTCGATCAATCTAAAAATCACAATTTTTATCTTACATTACAGATTTAATTTATATAAATGCGTTTACATTTTACAAAAAACTATTTGGTCTTGTCATATTATATAATTCAGTCTCGAATAAGTTTTTTAAAATCTATTTCATAAGCTGAAATCACGAATTTCTGAAATTATTTACAAACTCAATCTCACATTATAAAATAATGTTTTGTATAAATCATTAAATTTCACAAAAGAAAAGTTATTCGTGCGTAAAGAAGTACCTATTTCCGCAGTGAGAAATGCATTTCGAATACAATTTGGCTTAAGGCCTTCTTTCTCTTCGAGCGTCGAATTAAACGGAACCGTATATAGCAGCTGACACTCAATATACTACTCTCAATAGTCATCAATTGTGTGTGAAGCATCTTCGTCAATTGCACAATCACTAGTAAGTTATTGCTTGCCCACACTTTACTTTCCGGCATCGCCCATTCGCTCATCCTCGACGATCCATCTTGTCTGACATAGTTTCTCATAAGTTTGAGTTTAATTACCGCAACCAGCACAGCGGAATTAATACCCGAGGAGCAGAATACTGCGAAACTTAATTCAAAGCGATATGACGGGGACAGTAATCTATATTTAAATTAAAGCACTTTCACATTTCAAATATGGCTTTTTATGATATTGTCATCTTAGATTGCTAAAATTGTATTAATATATTTATTATATTTTTCTTATATTTTCTCTTCATTATATTTAATGTTATACATATTTAATACTTTTATTATATATTTATATTTTTCGTTCGCGCTTTAATATATAATAATAAAAAATAAATTTTGAATAAACTTCAATATTTTCGTTCGTGTAAGTATATCGTCTAATCATTTTAATTCTTTATGTTTACGGATTGGTGTTTTCATGAAAGACAAAAATACAGATAACTCACCTTATTTCTTACACGAGATACGAGGATTTCAATGTGATACTGCCACTCCAAGGCAAGTAGAAACAGTTGATGCCAACGTCGTTCCAATGATCTTGCTATCTGTAAGGGCTGCGAAAAGTGATGTTGCTGTTTTTGCTGTTGCTTCTGCTCCTGTTGCTGCGTGAAAACTTTATCCCCTAATTTGACAACCGAACTGACGATACGTCCGTGCGCCTTAATATCTCGTTGGAGTACCTGAAACAGAAATTGTCACGCATCTGTTAGCACCTTTCGGTCTCCAAAAGATAGATAAATTAACGGATCGCGATCGGTGTAGATTTCTATCTCGATACCTTATCTCCTTGTTTAAATTCTCTAGATCCAGATATAGACAGATGTATACATATAGCTATGTGGAAAATGTAAACCGTAAGATAAATGAGAAACAAGTACGCGAAATGTATCTCGACGCAGCATCGACATACTATATGACTCTAGCTGTTCAACGACACTGATGACGATTAATAACGTAGCGAGTTCATGATATCCCTGGTAAGACCGAGTCGGAAGAAAGTAAGCGCAGCTTAGGAGCGTGTAGCATCAATCGACATTGCGTATGTGTGTGTGTATCTGTGTGTATATATATACGCTAGAACATAAAGGTTAAACGTACTCGTGCAAAGAAAACGTTTAAAACTTCTTTATTACTTCCGCCAAGTAAGCCAAGCCACGCTAGTTAGTAAGTAGGCTCTTCCTATCTCTCTCTCTCCTTTGTACAACGCTCACGTACATTCGCGGGTTTCCTCGAATCGAGCCTCTAAATCTCCGCGAGAAAAACAAAGGTGTGGGATATCACTCCACGCAGTTCATATTAGCCCACTTTCTCTGATAGATTGCATACGATTATGTGTGATTGTTCTACTTATCTCGCAGCACGACGACGATTGCCGCGGTTCGCTTTCACGCACGGCTCTCGTCTTGAATTTTTCTTTTTTTCATTCTCTTCATTCTTTTTATATCGCTCCTTCATTGTCAATCGTTCATTCGGGCTCGAAAGGAGTAATGCGGCGGCAGCGAGGAACCAGCCGGTTATGAAAGCGTGAATATCTCTCTCTCCGACAGAATGTGAAACGGGAAGATATATGTATGAATCGAGCCAGTCAGCGTGCGCTCGTGAATAACTTTATTATTAATAGAAAATTCCGCGTTTCTCGCAGATCAGATAATTACCGTATCGGATAATAAATAGGGTGAAATTACGACCGCGTTCGTAAATTGTGAAACGCTACGCATTTGCCTCCGGTAGCTCATGCAATTGTGCAACACTCTTGATATACGCATATTCGTCTAAAAAAAATGTGTATCTGCAAGGAAAAATATTTTTTTAAAAATACACATATTCTATCGAAGATTGATACGTTCGTTTTCATAACTTTCGGTCCACATTCCGGAGCTCACAGTGCATAGAATATATAAGACACGGTTGCACGCATGAAATCTGATAAGAAACAAGTAGGATGACCGCGATAAAATGTGTACAATTGTACAACGCTCTTGATATGCATATTCATATTAAAAAAATTGTATATCTGCAAAGAAAAATATTTTCTTAAAAATACACATTCTATCAAAGACTGATACGTTTGTTTTCATAATTTTCGGTCCACATTCCGGAGCACATAGTGCATATATGTATAATATATTTATAATATACAGTTGCAAGCGTGAAATCTGATAAGGAACAAGTAGGATGACCGTAATAAAATGTGTGCTGAGGAAAATGTAGAGGAAAAATAAAATAAGATCTATCGTGCGTTGCTTAGTAATTTTAACGCGCCTTGATGAGAAAGTTCAGCGACATATATTAAAGAATCACGACGAGTGAATTGCCATGTATATACGAGAATGTATTCGAGAAGAGAAACACAAGATCATTATTTTATCCGAGGTAAGATATATAATTTATGGTTCGAATTCATAATGCCAAGTCGCCACATGGAAAGGCGAGACGAATTGCAAGAGAGAGAGAAAGAGATGGAAATACTGCGTTGGTGGTAATTCACGCATACCGTTCGATGTGTTATTGACATTCACCGATACTGCATACTTTCACGTTGCGGATTGATGCATCTCGTATGTTATTAATTACAAAATTCTTCTTCTCTTCCTCGTCTTCTCTTTATTTATTTAAAAGGACTTCGCATCAAATACATGGGATTTTGATTTGCAATGGAATTGGCTGTTTTTTTCATATGTTGTAGCTTATGTCCTGCTGAACAAAAGATGTAATAAGTAGCTTCAAAGCTAAGTATTGGATAGTTACTGAGTTACAGCCAGTCAAACAACTCGTAAAGCCCGAGTTTTTGTAGTTGACTGGCTGTAAATCAGTAACTATCTATTATTTAGCTTTGAACCTATTATGTTTTTGTTCAGCAGATCATAAGCTACAACATGAGAAAAACAGCTAATTTTACCAAGATTCAATTTTATATGGTTAGTATGGGGTTTTTGAACCTATATAAAATTCAATGAAATTGAATCCCGGTAAAATCAGCTGATTTTCTCATGTTGTAACTTATGACTTGCTGAATAAAAAATGTAATAGGTTCGAAGCTAAATAATAGGTAGTTATTAATTTGCAGTCAGTCAAACATGAAAAATTAGGACTTGGCAAGTTGTTTGACTGGTTATAAATCAGTAACTACATTTAACTTTGAAGCTATTACATGTTTTGTTCAACATATAAAAAAACAGCAAATTTCATCGAAAGTCAAAATCCTATGTATTCGGTATCTTTAATTAATAAAACCCGAGAAAAATATTTATAGATATTCTCTAATTTCAGGTAAGAAAAGTAACAATTAAATATTCAAGAAGAAAACGAAGAATGTCGTATATGGTAATTGATTTAAAAAAATAGAATAGTAAAATTAGAACAAGTAGAAAAATAGAAAAAATGCATGAGAGTGAAATCATATGAGAACAATACAACAAAAAATTATATATACAGGGAGAGAATTACTTTCGTCATTACATGTGAAAATTAGTTCGCAGAAGTTATTCTTTCCCCCGAGGTGGAAATTATTATAAAAGCCCTCAGCCGGTCTTTCCAGCTCTTCGCTTTCCACCTCTTCAACTGGTTTCTATCGCGCTTGTCAGAATGTCGTCGGCTCGTCCCAAGTTGAAGGCCTCGACGGTAATGTTAGGGCAATAACCTTCGAGTTAAGTTGCATATACTGACAACTGCAGTGCAGTCTAAAAGATAAAAAAATGGAATGGAGAAAATAGCGAAGAGCATTCGAAACGCTCTTCCTTTCGCTAGTTTCGATAGACTATCTCCCATGTCCTCATGCGTGACAATGACATCGTGGAAAATATTACATGATACAACACAGGAAGTGAGTCGCGAAACGTAATGTAATGACACGATAACGTAATGTCATACGAGATGCGGGTTTCTGAAGACACGCAATGCGTGTCTAGCCAGAGAGAGAGAGAGAGAGTCTATCGTTCTATCATGGTACTGATAATGTGTCCTCATGTCGGTCGATCGACGACCACGATGACGATGACAAGTGAAATGGCATTTGAAATCACGCGAGAACTCGCGGCGATAGTAAAAGTAGATAAATTTAGAGCGCAATGTGTGTGCCGTATTGAATAATTCAAACCCGATGTTATCTCGTGTTATGAAATTAGCGTCTATTATTGGACGACACGTGAGTCATTCTACGTGATTAAGTGGGAAATAAGATTCCACCAAGAGAGTTAGATAAATTAAACCTCTCTATATGCGTAATGAAACGGGGGGATTAACTTCCGCGCCGAGATGGCGATTTGACAAGCCGCAAGAATCCGAGGTGGACTTTACGTTTTAATACCGATGCTGGTATCTCTCGAATATCGGAGAGAGCTAAGAGTTCCCGTTAATTTATATTAAAAGCGACATAGCGGATATGTTCTATTATCTAATACACGCGCTATAAATCGCGTAGGGGACGAAGAAGGCCCTTTCTTGTTTATCAAAATATTGCCAGCTCATAACGTTAGAACCTCTTGCGTAAGTATACATTTCGGTTTTCAGAGCATGACCGTCGGTAAACCGTGCATTCTCCGAACGTATATCGGTTTTAGATCGATGAAAAATGCGTAACGACGCAGTATCATGATGGGTAAAAAAAAATAAAAAAAAATCAGGACGCTATCACCGCAGAATGGAGATTAATCCGAGACGAGCGAGCCGATAACTCGCCGGGTGCGGCTATACCTCCGAGCGATTCCAAGACCAACATCGGATCGCTTAAATTGTTTCGAGGAATGTATCATCTCACGGAACGTTTTCTACAGGGTGTCTCGGCTAAACGAGGACATTTAAGCACGCGCGTGTTATTCGACATACATTGGAAAATGCGTACCTTTAAAACTGCGTAGAAGCAGAACAAATATTTCTCCGCAGAAAATTTCAACGTACACTCTTTGGCATATAATTGAAATTTATTTTACGATAATTAATTAAAAATTAGACTCGTTTTTTTGAAAAAAATATTGTCTATACACAGAGGGAATTTTCTCTTATTTACTCTCAAAGTCATGGGAATCGTGGTTTCTCTGATTAATATTTACTACTGATAAAAATATTAATATCTACCACGGTAAGATATAAAATATGTTCGATTAATTTTACTAAAGTAAAATATTAATCAGAAATTCTTATTAAAAGAAATTCTTATAAAATTCTCCCAATACCATATGTTCCCACGATTACCATGATTTTCAAGGTAAATTCAAAGAAAAAATTCTCTCCGTGTACTTAAATATATTTCACGATAATTAATTAAAAACTAGACTCGATCTTATTGGAAAAAAATATTGTCTATACATAAAGAAAATTTTCTCTTAAATTTTACCCTGAAAATCATGGTAGTAATCATTACTGTGAGACAATATGGTATTGAAAGAATTTATAAATTTCTGATTAATATTTATCACAATAAAAAATATTAATATCTACCACAATAAGATATAAAATATGTTCGACTAATTTTACTATATACATATATTAATATTTTTTATTGTGGTAAATATTAATCTTAAAAAACTCATAAAATTTTTCCAATATCATATTGTCCTACGATTACTATAATTTTCGGAGTAAATTTTAAGAGAAAATTCTCTCCGTGTATGTAGATATCCACAAAATGTACCTTAGAATTCCACTATTATCTTAGAGCTGCCTACCTTCTTGCATTTCCAAA